CATTGTTTTCTTTTTGGTTAAATTTTGAGTTAGAAGTATGAGAGAAAATAGGAACAAGGAGGGTCATTGATATGGGGTCAGAAGGGCTTTTGGAGGCCACTGAGTCCAATTCACTTTTATACAGAGGAGGGACTGAGGCCCGGCATGGGTGAGGGATCTGTCCAGGGTCATACAGAGAGAAAGCATCAGGGCTACCAGGTGGCCTCCGAGAATTGGAGGGCCGTCATCCCATTTGTGGATAGTGAAAATCAGATCTCTGAATAGGTTTTGTAAGCTCCTATTGCATTTGTTGTCTCAGACACTTGAACTTTGACTTACACTGTCAATTCAGAGTATTTGATTTATGTCTTATTACCTCAGCAAGAGTCCCTTGTTATTATGCTGATGTTTATATTATTTTTTTATTTATTGGTTAATTTTGCATGAGTTTTTCTGGGCAGAGTAAAAGCATTGCAAATCCTTCCTGACTCATGTGCTGCATTAATTTTTGGACTAGCCCAATGATTTCACTGAGAAAGGGAGCTTCCAGTAAAGAAACCCCCTCTACCTGTATAGATTGGCACCTGTTTTGCCGATGTGAGAGTCGTAGAGGTGGCAGGGGGCATGGAGAAGTTAGGGGCCTTGCCTAGGGTCACAAAGGAGGCATGAGTCTGAAGCCACACTTGAACTCGTGGCCTCCTGATGCTAAGGCCTGCTGGCTACCCTGTGGCTGCATTAGCATTCCCAGTGAAAATGAGAACTGCGGACATGAGTTGTTAGGGTGTGTGACTCGGGAGCTGATGAGCCAGAGGGATTCCCTAGTCAGTCACAGTCTTTGCCACTTCCCTGGGGCTAGTTTTTAGCCCAGGGGAGATAGGTTGATGATAGTTCTGCATCCTTGCTCCAAACCTTTATGGAGCATCCCTTGTGACTGCATCATATGCAGGCTTGGCTTAAGGAGTTAGGCAGCAGGAACTGCCTCAGCCCACAGGGGGGTTGTATGAATGAGGCCAAGTGCTTCTTGGGAGTCCCATGTAGCCTGGATGAATTAGAGGCAGGGCAGGAACCCAAGCATTCCTGACCTCTAGGTTGGCTCTCTAGCTGGGAACTTCATCTGTTTTCTGGTTTAATTTTAGTTAAATTTACTTAAAATTTAACTCAAATGTGTTGTCATTCTTATTCTTATATGAAGGATAATGTCAGCACACATAGAGGGGGACTGTCTTGGGTCTTTACAGGACCCAAAAGACAGCAGAACACTGAGATGATGCACCTTTTGTGCCTTGGCTCCCAATTGAAAACAGCCTTTCCAGGGGCGGTGAAAGGTTCAGGTATAGCTGGGGGAGATTCTGGCCCTGTAATTAGCACTTGTATTCAATCACGACTAGATAACAGCTTTCTTCCTGGCGTCTTTGTCCCTCTCAAGAGGCCAGGGCTGCAGGTACAGGGTGAAGAAGGGAAGGGATCACCATATGACTTGAGTAGCAGTGGCTTGGTTGCGATGAAGGCCCAGGCAGCCTCTGTAGGCTTGCTCTCTGAAGTGTACTTCTTGTACAAGTTTTTCAGCTTCACAGAGAAGATTTCAGTCTTCCGTCTTAGGTAGTTTGTTTACTAGTTGGACAGAGATTGCTAGTAGCTTTTGCAGCTTCATCTGGGTTCATTTATTTTTATTTTCAGCCCAATCACTTATTCGTGGGAAGGTGGAAAGCTGATATCAGAGAATGATGATTTTGAAGATATGGTGGTAACAAGAGAAGATTATGAAGAAAATGGACATTGCATATGTGAAGAGAAATTTGATATTTAAAGACCGTTCCTGAATGGATGTGTTTATGCAGTTCTTTTTAAAGAAGTTAATGAGCACTATTGTAATCTTTCATCTTGGAAAGTGTCTTGAGTTGATTGACATACTTTGTGTTAGAGCTTTGGAAAGCTTAGCTTCAGTGACTCATACCATAAATGGTAAGTACAAAGGGGCGTATGTACTTTTATTGTACACTTTTATTTAGGAGCGAGGCTTCTGTTGAGGCTTGCACTAATTTTTTTAGGGCACGTTACTTTTCATTGATGAATAAAAGACTAAATGCATTTAAAATTTTATTCTTTATAGTTACAAGAACAGATTCAGCCTTTGATAGTTCATTTTTTTGCATATATGTGATTTGAAATAAGATTTTTTTGGCTTCATTTAGTTTTCATATTCTTTTATATATTATGTATATATGATGGAAATGATAATTTAAATAGTGTTCTAATTTTTACTTAGAGCATATTTAATAAATTGCCTTTAGTGTATAGTCTTTGTTTCTGTTCACTCTTTATTATTGCTTAAATGTTTCATTTCACTTATTCCACAAAGCATTGTTATTAGTATTGCTTTTGAATGAGAAGAACTGATGTCGATTTGTCAAGGTTATGAAGAAATGTAGGAGGCTCTGCATTGTTCCAGGGCTTGATGGATCCAGCACGATGGAATTTGCAAAGAGGAGGATCTGGACCCCTGCCATCTCGTGAGTAATCTGCCTTCAGTGTAGTCTTGGCCCTGGCCGTCCTCCATGATGGTGGCAGATGCCTTTGAAGAGTACGTATTGCCCTGTTTTTATGCTTCTTGATAATTAGTAATCCGAGCGTTGTCCGACACAATTCTCTCTCATTACATCTTTTAAGGAATCCTTCCTGATTCCGACATAACGCATAGAAGACGCATGGTGAGAGGACAGTGTTGAAGACACTATTTGGCTCAAATACTCATCAGTCATTAACAAACTCTCACTGTAAAGGGATTTTGTATTCCCTACATGTTTCATCCATGAAGAGGCAGTCTCTTCTAGAACCTTTGTAAAAAGCTAGTACCTTCCCTTCTCAAACCTTCATCGCAGACAATTCTCAGTGTGCACTTACATTATTCTTGGAATTGATGGAGACGGCATAGGCTTCAGTAGATATGGATATGTCTCAAAGTTTTTAGCCTGCTTGTGAATAACATCGCGCTGACTACACCAAGTCCTAGGATGGTGCAGAGCCTCCCAAACGAGATGAGTATCACTGGAAGGAATTCAGCCTAACCCCACACAGGACGAAGCAGAGTGCCTCTTGTCCAAATGGGAAGCAGTCCAGTAGAGAAGCTATGGAATGGGTCAATCCAGACATTTATCTTAACACACATTGCAGTAACACTGGGCTGCCTTGGGGAAATTGCCCAATACTTTTCATGGGTGCAAGCTTTTCTGTGAAACAAAGGGCCAGCCTTGTGACTGTGAAGACTCTTCTGGCTTGGTTCTTCACCAGACTCCTCTTGTGGAGTGTGGCAAAAAGGAACTTGTCTGCCACCTTAGAGACCTTTAATGATGCCCCACTACCCACTGAATGAAGTACCAGCTGCTTCATCAGACCCTCACTAACGTGGCCCAGCCCAGCCTTTCTTTCCACCCGTATTTTGCACTGTCTTGTATATAGATCTTGGGTTCCCCTTGGAGCGGACTGCTGGTCTCCAGCCAGTCAGCAAGTACCATTTTCACATGCAGTGCTTCACTGCTGCTATACTACCTGCCATGGCGTCTCCCAGACCTCCTGATCAGTTACGGGCTTATCTGGTTACTGACACTTTGTGCCTCGTGTCTAGCTTATGTGATTTGTTTTATAGATGACAAAACCACAGCTGAAGGCAAGGGACTTCCCTAAGATCACACAGTTAGTGGGTGATTAAGCTGGGACCAGAATCTGAGTCTTAAATGTCTAGTCCATTGTTCCAGCCATTACACCAAACAACCTCCATGTTCTCTACTATGGTTATTTGATTAGTTCTTTTCTACAATAGATGGTAAGCACCTTCAGGGCAGGGACTCGATACATTCAAATGCCAGGCACAATTTTCTGAACATGGTAACCTGATAATTGATTAATTGAATTTCTTCTCTTTTTTCAGATAATAATACAAATTGCCGAGATTTAAAATTTATAAAATGTTCTACACACATTAATGATCTCATTTGGTCCTCACATCACCCATGGGATATAGGTGCTATTTCCCATTTTGACAGGAGAGAAAATCTACAATTGCACAACAAAGTGGATGACAAATATATTGTCCAGATTATAAGATGCAGTTGGATGAACTCATTGAGTTAATCTATCTGTTGCATGTGAGTCAGCTCAGATTTAAATAGTTGAGGAGATGAATATATCACATTTGGGGAACTATACACTTCCAATAGTTCTGAACTGCTCATTGCCATAAAAATGTGCCATTTTAATGCCAAAGGTCTGTCAGTGATACTCTGCAGTTGTCAATTATGGAACACCATGCTCTCAGGATAATCAAAATTGGTGACTCCAAAGGCAACGAAAAGATGCGTGTGTTGGTCGAGCTGTGAATTGTTCATGCCATTCTGGAAAGCAATTCGGAACTGTGATCCAAAAGTCACTGAACTAAGCTTGCCATTTTTTTTTTTTTGTTTTTGGTGAGGCAGTAGAGGTTGAGGGACTTGTCGAGGGTCACACGGGTACTAAGGATAAATTTTGACCCAGTGTTAAGACTAAGTCTATAACCTGAAGAGATCAAAAAAAGAGGAAGACGATCCATATGTACAAGAGCAAAACCTTTGAAACTAAGAGGGCAGAGTGTCTTGTCTGTTTGCTGGGGAATATGGATGTAACAGAATCTTATGCCATAAGAAATAATGAAAAGGAAGTTTCAGAGGAAACTAAACACTTTTGTGAACTGAAGAAGAGGGAATTAAATAGAGCCAGGAGAAAAATTTTAAACAATGATAAGAATATTTATTATAATGAAAACCTTTAGATTGGTGAAAATTCTGATGAGTGCAATGCCACACCTCAGTTACAGAGGCTGGAAGATGAAATGTGGTAAGCCAGGGAGGTGATGGTCAGAAAACACAGAATAAGACATGATTTTTGGACAGAGCCAATATGGGGAATTGTCTTACTTGATTGTGCATAATTTTTATAAGGATTTTATTTTTAGTTTAGGTTTTTTAATTAAAAATTTTTTTGATGTTCAGCGGAAGGATTAGGAGGGAGAGAAAAATGCTTCATTGGAAAAAATAATAAAAAGAAAAAAATTAGGGTGGGAATAAGTAGGTTGTAGCATATTACCAATAAATTACCTTAAGAAGTAGCAAAAAAGACATAATCAGGGAAGTGTGTGCCTAGGAAACGGCTGGTCATGCAACAAAAGAGGGAAAGGGAATTGCCCATGTGCAGAGTGGTGCCTGGTAAACATGAAATATAAAATAAGCAAGGGAAGACTTTGGATGCTTGGGATGGAAGGCACCTCTGCAGGATTTACTGAAAAGCAGGGACAAGGATGGCAAAGGCTAGGAATATGGGGATGGCTATGATCTACACCGGAGCAAGCAGCAGTCACACTGAAGGTGCCCTTCTCTCGGTTATACCTTTAGATCATCTTGAGTCATTTACATTCTAGCAGCAAAGGGAAAATGGCACCAGTGCGGAAAGATTCTTGTCCAGAGCTTCAACGAGGTATGTTTCTTCTCTGATACCCAGAAAGACTTCTCAGGGATTTGACTGCATCAGACCCCCAATGGTAGCAGCATCACTTCTCAATCATTCAGTAGTGTAAACTATTCAGTAGAGCACAAGTAAGTGATTCAGTAGTATCACTGAGGGATGAACTTGCCTCTTTTCAAAAGTTAAATGCTTGCTGGATAAACATGGCATATGGAGGCTATACTTTTCATTGTATTCCTGCTACTAAAATGTTAATTTGGCAGTCTTAAAAAGGAATTGGTATAAAGAAAAAAGCTCTCTACCCTCTACAAGAACCCAGCTTACAAAACTGCATCCAATTTCTTGCCCCTAAAACGTTAATTCAAAGCTGATGGGTGATGTTTCTGAAATTCCTTCATCAGTTTCTTCTTCTGTTTGAGAGGAATACTAGAGCTGATGTTAATCTCCTGAATCAGCTGCTGGAGCTCTCCAGTTGTCCTTTGTTTTTGTCCCTCATATTCTTCACGAGTCAAACGCTGACAAAACGTGAAACCTTAAAATAACAATTACGCAGTTTAGAAAACAAAGTAAAAATGTTTACATAGCCCTCAGGTGCATGTATGAACAAGACTGCCTCATGCTGAATACAGTTTTTCCGAGGTCTGAATGACAGTCATGTTAAGTGTTGCCCTCCGTAAATGTTTCTTTGCTTTTAGGTGATCTAAAAGTACAAATGACTTCATGAGTAATGGAAGGACAGTAAGAGTTAACATTTCTACAGCGCTCTCAGCTTTGCAGAGCCCCTCACACAGGTTATCCGATTTCATCCTTGGGGGTTGTCCTTCATTCTTAAAGAGGACCAAAATCACTATGTTAGAGTCAAGTCACAGTGTGGCCGATCAACAATTTGAACTCAGAAGGCTCCTCTACCAGTCGGGCACAAATAGTCCAGCAACCAGTTCTCGGTTGGTAAGAAGCAGGTCCAGAAGAGAAGTGCCCTTTGCTAATCCCTCCACTGTTCCTAGGAGACATGCTGTATCCTTCCAGTAGAATGTAAGCTCTTTGAAAGGAGGGGTGATTTCATTTTTGTATTTCTGTACCTAGTGCTTAACAGTGCTTGGCACACCGAAGGTGCTTAATACATGCTTGCTAAGTGACTGAAGGATGGAATTATTAAGGTAAGTAGGATGTTACTAGCTGCTCTACTTTGGGCAGAGAGAGCACTCCAGTAGATGTCAGGATAATCAGAGTTTCAGTTAATTTCAGATCGTGGCCCCCATGCCTTTCCCAAACTCATTTATTTCCTTTTTCTGTTCTGGTGGTCTAGATAATACTATTTTTATAATTCTATTTTTTTTTATAATATATAAATATAATTTATAATTCTATTTTTGCTCCTCTGACCTTTACTCCAGTGCTCTCACCCTTGCTTGTCCTCCTGTCCACTTCCTGAATTTCCTCACATGGAACAGTATGTTCTTAACATACGATGTTACTCTTCTCACTGGAGTGAGCCTTCTCTTTTTGAATAAGGTATTCCATTCGAGGACCGTATTCTACTACTCGTTGGTAATACCTAAGATGTCAAATTTTCCCTCTTGTCTTTGATATTTAGCTCACCTTCTTAGCTGAATTTTGTACATTTATGTATAGATATCTGAAGCCATGGATTTTATTAATGGCTCATTAAAAAAAAAAAAAAACTGTCTCCTGTAATTTTCTAGGCATTTTTAGTGCAATTCTTCCTACAATGTTACTATTCTCTCTGTTTTTCAGCTTGATGGATAAAAGTTGGTAGTTTTCTGAACTTAAACTACAAATTTTGCAAAGATGAATTTTAGTAATTAGGATCATAAGACCGAGTTGCATGTTCTTAAAAAGTTCTTTGGCATAGTGGATATGAGAAAGAAAAGGCATTGGAATGGTTTTCTTGGGCTCTGTTCCCTATCTTTAAGACCATCCCCACTCTCACCTATAAAACCTCTTTCCCCAACAATACAGAAATGAGAAAGTCTGACTAGAAATGAAAAGAGGTAAGACTATAAACAAAGTGGCCAAAAAATAGCCATTTTAGAGAGGCTATCACCCACTTGGCAAAAGTACAATACAATGAAAACTCTGTAAGAAAGAACTGGGATGCCATTCACTTGCCCTAGAAATAGCGGAGGGAAAAGTTGGCTTAACTGAGTGACCTCTGACAACTTGATAAAACACTAAAACTCACTGTACCCTTTCCTGCACATGTACATCCCACCTCCTCCGTTCCTGGAGTGACGATCTCTGTCTACTGAAATTCTTTTTCTTAAGGCCAAAATCAGTTGTCACCTTCTTCTATGAAGCCTTCCTTCCATGCCAATATTACTTCTATATACTTAATTATACTCTGACATATACATATTAGTTATTTGTGTGCCTATCTCGGCTCCTCTTCCTACCCTCACCACCTCCAGATCCTAAGTTACTTGGGGGCAGAGCCTCCATTTTTATAACCTGAGCAGCAAATAGAGTGCCTTAAATGTAGGTGGTGCTTAAGTGATATAGCCTTACTGAATTTACTGCAAGAGGCACACAGTTCAGTTTTGTACCTGATATAAGATCTGGATCTTCTCCATGAAGAAGGCTTCTGAATTTCCTACCGACCAGTTCCAACAAATTCAAAGGCGTCTATATAAAAACAGATAATGTTTGATTTAATTAGAACTAAAAATGTAAGGTATGGTTTCTGTCTAGAATACATCAGTAGTGAAATCTAATTCATGTATTAGAAGGCATAGTGGATAAGGTGGTATACATTGAGTCAGAAAGACCTGGGATCAAATCCTGCCTCTGAGACTAGCAGTGTGACCATGAACAGGTCATGGAACTTTTATTGAACCTTGGTTCTTTATCTGCATAACAGAGATAATAATTCCTCTACTATATTTCTCACAGGGTTGTTTTGAGGGTCCTGAAAATAATGTCCTTTGCCAACTTTAAAAGCTCTATAAATGCCTACACCAGTAAAAATTAAAGGATATTTTTAAAAAGAAAATGTTTCATTATTTTAAGTCCAGGCTTTGCTAGAAACTAGGGTCACCATCCATGGCCTTCAGAAGTCCAGTTGTAGTGAATCCACAAATGATTTGTATTTAACAAATCAGATCATTTCTCAAAGCAGTGTTAACTAATGCCTCCATCATAATCACTAAGTGCAGAAAAACATTATTTTCATAAAGTCGAGAAATACTCCTCTTCCAGTTTGCTTTGTATCCAACATTATTTCCAACAGGAACAACCTCCAGGGACGAGGCTTCTCTGGCAATGTTGCAGGGAAGTTCTCATCCCCTCACATTTGCTACTGCTAAGTTCTGCTTCTCTTCCTTTCCTTTTGTTTTTTGGTACAGTCCTTTCCCAATACAATGACCTTCTTCCTGTCTCCAGGCACTGAGCTTCCTCTTTTAAATAGGAAAGGCAGTTCGTTAAAGTCAGTCAACAGAGGCAGCCCTAAGCAGTTTACTCAGGAGCTCTCCACCACTCTTCATAGGGGAGGAAGTTGGGTTTTTTTGATTGTCTGCTCTCCAAAACCAAGATGGATCACTTTGCCATTACCTGGAGCCCAGCTGCCTTTCGTTTTTTGTTTTTTTTTTAAAAAACATTATTATAATTGCTGTGTACACTCTTTTCTTTGTTTTTCTTCTCTCTGTACCAATACATACAAATTACCTTTCTCAGAATTCCTCACATTTCTCATTTCTTACTGCACAATAAAATACATTAGTATACTACAGTTTCTTCATTCGTTTTCCATTCGATGGACGCTTTCTTTCAATTCTATTTTTATTGCCATCACAAAAAGTACTGCTGTAAATATTTTGAAATATTTGGGAATGTTTTGCCTGTCTTTGGCCTTCTTAAAGTATATGCTCAGTATGGGGATTGGTGGGTCAAAGGTTGTTAACAATTTATTGACTTTTCTCATCTAATTCCAAGTTGTTTTCTTTTCAATCAGGTCTTTTAAAAAAATTTTTTTTCCAATTAACCAAAACCTACCTTCTTTCCTTCCCATTGCCTAATGGAAAAAGAAAGAAAAAAAGAAAAAAACGAAGTCCTTGTGACAAATATTAACAAACAGAACACATTTACACACACACAAAAAAGTCTTAGTCTATACTATTGAGTACGTGACATCTTTGTTAGAAGTTGGCAGCATGCTTCATGATGAGTCCCCTGGAATGGCGGTCCATCATAGTGTTGATCAGAGTTCTCATGTCTTTGAATGTTTGCTTTTTACAGTACTGTTATCATTGTATTAACTGTGTTCATAGTTTTTCCCACTTCATTCTACATCAGTTCCACATGTCTTCCCAGGTTTCTCTGAAACTATCACCTTCATCATTTCTTATACCACAATAGTATTCCATTACATTTATATGTCATAACTTGTTCAGCCATTCCCCAAGTGATGGGCATCCCCCTCAGTTTCCAATTCTTTGCATCACAAAGACAGTTGCTACAGATATTTTTGTACATATGAATCCTTTTCCTCTTTCTTTGATCTCTTTTGGGTATAGATCTACTAGTGCAATGACTGGGTATGCACGGTTTGATAACTTTTGGGGTAAAATTCCAAACTGCTTTCCAGAAGGACTGGATCAATTCAGAGATCCACCAAAAGTGCATTAATGCACAAGTTTTTCAATAGCCCTTGTCAAATTTGTCATTTTCCTTTTTTTGGCCAACTTTTCAAATATGACAGGTGTAATATGGAACTCCAGAGTTGTTTAAATTTGCATTTCTCTAATTACTAGTGATTCAGAGCATTTTTTTATATGGCTTTTGATCGTTTGCATTTCTTCCTTTGTAAATTGCCTGTTCATGTCCTTTGACCATTTATCAATTAGGGAATGGCTTATTTTTTAATATTTGAATCAGTTCCCTATGTATCTTAGAAATTAGGCTGTTATCAGAGAGACTTGCTACAAAGATTTTTTTCTTTACCTGCTTCTCTTCTAATTTTATAAAACCTTTTTAATTTTATGTAATCAGAACTGTCCATTTTACCTTGTTTGTTCATGATGAATTCTTTCTTATCCACAGATCTGACAACTTCTTCCCTCTTCCTCTAATGTGTTTATGTCGCCCTTTATGTCTGTTGTGTACTCATTTCAAATTTATCTTGGTATATGGTATATGAGCAATCAATAAACATTTATTAAGCACCTACTGTATATGCCAGGCATTTTGCTAAGTGCTGAAGATAAACTGGTCTATACCTAGTTTTCTGCCAAACTGTTTTCCAGTTTTCTCAATGTTTTTTTTTTTTTTTTTGGGTCAAATACTGGGTTGTGTTTTCCAATAGCTGGGATCTTTAGGGTTATGAAGTATTAGGATACTGTGCTCCTTTGTGCTGCATGATGTGTATACCTAATCTACTCCACTGATCACCCTTTCTATTTCTTAATCAGTACCAAACTGTTTTGCTGATTTGTAGTAAAGTTTGAGATCTGGTTCTGCTAGCCACTATGCATTTTTTGTTTCATTATTTCCCTTGAAACTCTTGACCTGTTTTTCCTCCAGGTGAATTTTGTTATTATCCAAGTTGTCTTCCAGAATTGGTCAGGCTGATTCAGTTTCATTATCACACAACTGGGATTTTGACCCAGATCTTCTAACTCCAAGTATGATAATTGCCCTGAATCTCCTTCTCCAGACTGTTTCAATATTATTATCCTCATTTTACAAGAGAGAACTACAAGACTCAGAGAGATTAAAAAACTAGTCTGTAGCCATAGAGTTGATAGCTAAGCCAGAGCTCAAACCCAAGTCTTCTGACTATGGCCAGTGAAAGATGAAGTAACAGTCATAGAGATTTGGGGGGGGGGGCAGTGGTACCCCAAAGAAGAACTGCTTGCTAGAGATGTTACACACAGTATAACAGAAACTTCAAATAATACATTAATGCCTTTGCAACTACAAGTATTACTCTATGATCCAGTATCAGAAGGCAGTACTGAGGTTAAAAAAAAAAGTTCCAAACATGTAGTCTCCAGTAAATGCTCTAATTACTTAAATTCACAAGGACAGGGTATGTCCAAAAGACTGATGAATCTCCACCTGTCATTTAGCTTTTGGATGTTAAAACAACTGAATTCACAGAAGGAGAATAGTGTATACATGACAATTCTGGTCAGTGCCAAGAGTAGGGAGGACTGAACAAATCAGTTGCCTGCTGCTGCAGAGGGAAGGACTGAAAATGCAGAATGAGGGCATGGGAGCCTGTTTTGTTAGCATATGCAAACCTGTCATGAAGGTTTTCTTTTTACTGCTCAGTGGGGGTGGGGAGGAGATGACAAATGCTTATAAAAAGAGTTACCTAAAAAAAAAATGGAATAAAGATAGCTTAGTGTAAATGTGCCAAGGGAAAATAAAAAAGATACCTTAAGAAGCTCACAATGATTCTCTAGCAGAAACTGGACCAGTCGCTCAGTTTGTACTTTCGACAGTGACTTGTTTTTCAAAACAGCTTTGGCAAGCATTTTCATGACAACTGTTCTATTATCATACTGCAAAAAAAGAATAAAGGTAACAGGAATCAACTATTTTATCAGAAGAACAAGAGAAAAATGCAAACACATTCATGTTTCAAATACTGGTCATACCTGTTTTTGTAACTTGTAGCCCTGAGGGTCTGACGCTATGGCCATAAAAGTCAGGAGTCTGCGTAATTCCTCCCTGACATTGGGGAAAAGGAGCCTCAGGTACAGCTGCGACGCTTCCAGAGCGTCTGCTTGCTTCCCTTTCTCTGTTACAGGTATTACAAACAGTTCAAAATGCACATCAATGAACATAGCAATATTTGGATTTTAAATTATCAGCACACTACAGGACAGAGGTAGCGGAATAAGCGCTACAAAATTAAGCACAGTACTTGGCTTAGAAGTTAAATTTTGTGCCCACTTAAAGACCATGAAAAATGTTACCAGGAAAAAGTCACTTGACAGTCTGAGTCTTGCTCAAATGTCACCAGATTCAAAGAACATAAGAAGCTACTAAATGCAAAAGTAATTAAATTTCTCTATCTTTAGCTTTAAGTTTAAATACATGTGATAAAAATTAAGATTAAATATTTCCTCCTTGAAATTTCACTCTTACCCAGAAGTTCAATAATTCCTGAATGAACATCAGAATAACTGTCATTAAGTAAACATTCTCTTTCTTGATTATAATATTTTATTATAATATCAAAGAATATCTTCTTATGAATATTCAGTTTTGTTTCTTCGTTAGCGTTTTGAACTAGCTGCTGACTAACCATCACTATTAGCTGGTCTGGGAAATATTCCAGGCATTCAATTGCTGCGTTGAGCCAACTGTCAATCCTGGAAAAAAAAATCATAGATTAATATTTCTAACTGCAAAAAAGCATTGTTTAATACTATATTATATATGTACATGTGTTATATAAACTTTCAACAGAAAACTGAATTTATATAAGCAACTGCATGAGAGAGATTTAAGATTATCAAAGTAATAGACTTGATTTATTGTCCATCAGTTTATGTTGGGCCCAGGATTAAACAGGAGAGAGGGCAGGACTGCCTTTGGGAGACCACAGAGCTCTTTTAGGGACACCAAACTTCTCCCTGAGATGAAAATCTCTCATTTTAATATCTATATTTTACTGGTGTTTTAAGGTCACGAGACATAAGACACTGGAGTCCCTAAATGATTAAACATAAGCATCACTTGGGAGGCCAATGGAGAGAGCCATGGTAGGGTGTGATTAGGGGGCCACAATGACCTATGAGCCAATACTGAGCTATGAATAAGAACAACGACAAGTGACCCAGTAATATGAACTAGAGAGTTCTCTGGGAAATAAGTGCAAGCTCTTAACATCACTGAAAATAAGAGATTCACAAATCAAAATAATCTGAGGTTTTACCTCACATCTAGCAAAGATGACCCCAAAATGGGAACAGTTAACGATGGCAGGCCTTTAGAAACAGGCACACTACTATGCTGTTAGTGGAGCTATGGATTGGTCCAAACATCCCAGAAAGCGACCTCTAATTATGTTGAGATAAGTGCCTAAAACATCTACAGCCCTCAACCCAGAGATTCCACTGCTGGGGGTACACCCTAGAAAGACAGAAAGGTTCCATTCACACCACAATATTCACAGCAGCACTTCTTGTGAAAGCAAAGAACTAGGCAAAAAGTAGACTGAGGAAAGGCTAAACAGAGATACCAAAATATAATGGGTCATTGCTATGCCATAAGAAATGCCACAAAGAATTCAGAGACTTATAAGAAGACTGACATGAACTGATGCAGAGTGAACTCACTCATGAACACAACTCGTACAAAGACTACAAGGTATCTAACAAGGAGGGAGCCCTGAGAAGGCTCACCTTCCTTCCTTCTTTGCAAAGGTGGGGGGTTACAGGCATGAAACAGTGCATAAACAAGGGGTCACCAAAGCCTATTCAACTATTAGAGCTTACAGCTGCACTGAGACTTTGAGGACACCCAACCCTTTTCCGCCAGACTTGGTTAGTTTTACTGAACTTTTTTTTTTTGTTTTGTTTTTAGGCAATTGGGGTTAAGTGACTTGCCCAGGGCCACACAGCTAGTAAATGTCAAGTGTTTGGTCTGAGGTCGGATTTGAACTCAGGTCCTCCAGGTCCTCCTGACTTCAGGACGGGTGCTCTATCCACTGCACCACCTAGCTGCCCCACACTGAACTCTTTTTAAAAATTTTCTTTCTTTTTAAATTTTTGTTAAGGCAGGGGAGGAAGAGGGATGTATTTAGAAATGAAAGTGATGTGAAGACCAAAAGATATCAATCAAAAGTTTTTAAAATAACTAATTAAACCAAAAAAGAAGAGGAAGGTAGTCATGTGACCAGAGCTGGGATAACTGTTGGGTGGTCTAATTTCACGTCTCAATATGAAGGAAGACCTCCGGATATGCTATAGTGAACTCAGGGGAGGTTCCCCCCCAAAAAAAGAGTCCAAAGGGAAACAGGTATGGATGAACTGTGCTCACATCCCTGGAAGGATCAATTGTAGACCAAGAGGCCATGTGGTCCAACTCCTTTATTTTAAAACTGTGGCCCAAGGAGGAGTTAACATCAGTGAGATCACAGATCCATTTAAATATCTGAATACTAAAACAAAGCAAACAAAAAAAAATCATAAAGAACAACAAGGAAAGGCTGGCTGAAAACCACGTCTGACTTCCTTCGTTTCCTTGTATACCAGCAAGGAGCAACAAGGGCTGGGACCAGTTCAGAAAGAGAACTTTTATTTGTCCTGATTTGAGAGTAGACAATTCAGCCAAACTGGATCCAGTGTGAGACAGAGACAGAGACAGAGAGAGAGACAGAGACAGACAGAGACTGCGTGTGCATGCATGCGTGTGTGTGTGTGTACTCATATATACTGAATACAGAAATGTAAGAGAATTCACATTGACTATATTAGAACAATGTCACATTCTATGTTCCTGTGTGACTTAAACACCAAATACAAAATATGAGCAAGAAAGCTTTTGGTAATAACAACAATAATGACTGCCATTTATATAACCTTTTATTTGTTTGATAATAAAGATGCATACTTACTCAGACAAACTGAGGCCATGAATAACCTCTCTATCTAAGCAAGTGTTGGAGATGATGAGATCTTCTCGGTTCCACTGAACATTCTGGTTTTTTACTGGGGGCTCTAAAATACTTTCTAAGATTGGAAGGTGAATTAATTGGAGGAGTCTTAACAATGTTTGCTCTTTCCACACGTCTTCCGCAACTTAAGAAAGAACAAGGAAAAAAAACAAAACCATCATCAGTAAGGCATACGAACCAGTAAACTATTTCCAATCAGGTATTTCTACTAATTAGCAAAAGTGTTTATTCCAGTCCCAGGATTTTGTGGTGAGACTTCCTCAACGAAGGCAGATCTTAGCACTCACTCTTCAATTTGTCATCTTAGGAGTTTTTTGGGGATGCTAAGAGGCAAAGTGACTTGTCCAGAGTCACACAGTCATTACAGGCCAGAGGCTAGACCTGAACCCACATCTTCCTGGCTCTGAGGCCAGCCTTTTCTCCACTATGCCATTTTGCCTCACAATATGCAGAATGGAAAAAAAAATTCTCAGTACACTGTAAGAATATAATATACTCTGAAGTGAAAATATATGCATATAGGAAGCAAATGGCAATTTTAAATAAGAAAACTATAAATAAATGCAATTCAATAAATTGCAGATAAAGACTCGCCAGAAAAAAGAGCAGAGAGTTTGTAAGATCAGCAAGGCAGAGACAAAGTGAGAAACCCTGGGTGGAGCCCATGGAACCCTGTACCTGGGCCGGTAAGCCCTTGGTTTGAGTTCTGCCCCCACACACATTCCGTCGCCCTACTCAGCGCCTGGGATGCTCTCTCTCCTCCCTTCCACTTGGGCTTCCTTCATGAATCAGCTCAAATTCTACCTTCTGCAGGACGCCGTCCCCAGTTCCACCCACTGCAAGCGTCCTCCCTCTGAGACGCTGTCCCATTTACACTGTGTAAACTTTGTATATACAATTTTTTGCCTGGCTTCTCCCCAATTAGAATATGAGCTCACTGAGGGCAGGGATTATTTTTGCATTATTTGGCTCCCCACTGCTTAGCACATCTATTAAGTACTTAAAAAATGCTCAGTGACTGTTGACGGACTGACACTCTCTCTCTGGGTAAATCATTTGCCTGGGAAGCTTCTCTGTGTCCTCACTGGTAATGAGAACAATGATGCCTCACTAAATTATAAAAGCCCTCAGCTTCAAAATAGTTAAATTTTGTTTTCTGTGACATCAGACAAGTGCCTTCACCTCCACAGGCCTCAGACTCCTCAGCTCTAAAATTAGGGGTTGGCTTTGATGGCCTCTGAGGACCCTCCAGAAGGGGGGGTCTTCATAATGCACTTTTGAAACCCTTCACCGAAGTTTGGGGCCTCTTAGAGTTCAGTATTAGCTGGACTGAAATGAAAAGTTGTGTGAGAAGGCATATCAAGAAAAACATCGGCAAGGGTACTTATCTCACCACTACACAAATATTCATCTTTAGTGCCTCTGGGCCAATTCAAGGTCATTCATTTATTGAGCACCACTATGTACAAAGTGTGCAGCTAGGTGGCACAACGGATAGAGTGTCAGGCCTGATGTCAGGAAGACCTGAGTTCAAATTTGACCTCAGACACATACTAGCTGTGTGACCCTGGGTAAGTCATGTCACCCTGTTTGCCTCAGTTTCCTTACCTGCAGAATGAGCCAGTAAAGGAAATGGCAAATCAGTCTAGTATCTTTCCCAAGAAAACCTCAAATGGGGTCACGAAGAGTTGGACACAACTGAACAACAACAAAAATGTACAATGTACCGCATTAGGTGACAGAAAATGACATAAATCCCTGCCTTTGTGAAGCTTACATTCTAGCAAGGAGTACAAGCCAAGTACAAAAGCAACCTCAATCCATGACAAAAAATGAAAAGTGCTTTAAGAAAAGTATAAACAGTGATACAAAGGAAAGCTCATACATAGTTATGGGGAAAGCTTGTTTGTTGGGGCCAATCAGGAAAGTATCATGAATGAAATGGCCCTTGACGACATGAGGCCTGAAAAGATGGCTTGGCTTTTCATTGGTAGTGATGGGAAGGTGGGGTGTTCCAGGCAGAGGAAACTTCATGAGAAAAGAAAGAGGGAGTAGCATAAAGCACTGTCTCAGAAAGAATAAATTGTCTAGTAGTAAATGGTGGTGGTGGGAAGATAAAGTTAGTAACAGGGTAGCGGGGGGAGATAAGGTTAGAAAGGGAGAGTGAGGCTACAATGAAGCAGACCCTGAATGTCAGGAATTTACTTGATAAATAGTGGGAAGACTCTGAATGTTTCTAAATAAGGGGATGACATGCTCTAAAGGAGATGAACTTGGCAGTGGCACGTCAGATGAATTGGTGGGAAAGGTTGGAGACAGAGGAGTCCAATGAAGAGGCTGCTGTTGGACTTTCGGCTTGAAGAGACAAGTTGGGTTTGGGCTAGAGTGGAGAGTAGTGTAAGGGTTTGCTAAGAAGGCATTTCAAGGAATCTACAAGACTGATGAGCTCAAAGTCATGTTGTAAAAGGTTGGGTAACTCAAAGTTTCTACGCCTAGGGGACTTACAGAAATGGAAGTTGGAAGGGAGAACTCTGTTTCAGATGGTAGGGAGGCAAGGGGAAGATGAGTTCACCTTTACACATTCTGAGTTTCAGGTCATTTGGGAGACCTCCCACATAGAAATGTCCACAAGGCAGGCAAATAGTGAACTGGATTAAAGGTAGAGAGATGAGTTACTGGGCACAGAATTGAAGGATGAATCTATAAGGATTATCGAAGGATGACAAAGCACAGAGAGTTACCAGAGGGTTTAGAAGTCTAGTAAATATGTACAGCTAAAGGATAAGAGGAAAAGCAGCCAGTGAGATGAAGAGAACGGGGAAGCAGAGATACAAGGGGGCACGAGAGAAGCACTACCTCAGAGGCTACAAGAGGAAAAGGTTTCTTTCACGAAGCAGTAAGGTGGTCAAGAGTGTAAAATGCATCTGAGATATATGGTGATGACAACCAGGGAGGTCACTGGGTAATCATAAAGTAGGCGATGGCCTTATGAGAGCAGTTTCAGTAAGTACAGTTCTGCAATTAGACTGCAAGAGCAGACTGTTCACTGGAGAAACATGAGACATACTCTATAAGACATAAAGAGATCCACAGTCACGTGAAGGTTTTTTTTCAAGACAAGACAACTTACATATGTTTGAAGGAAGCAGAGAAGTCAAGGAGAATGAGAAAGCAAAGATAAGAATAGGAGACAGGTTCCTCAAAAGCAGGAGAGAAAGGGATCTAGGTCACAGGCAGAAAGGTAAGAGCTCGAGAAGGGAGGCGAGGCCTTGTTCTCTGATAGCACCCATCCTAGATCGCATTCACCCCATCTTGCCATACACAAGGACTCCAAGGCCTGGCCAATGCAAGCATCCTACCTTCTGCTTTGCCATCACAAATGTAACTCTCTCCTCACAATTTCACCTCTTGTTCTGAGAGCAATAATCAATGCTACCATTGCTCCGGGAAAGAATGTGACAGTCTAGCACGGCCCCATTCATCATCTCTATGACCATTTTGGTCAAAGCTCCCTTTCCTGACCCCACCTCCTGACATGTGCTGAATTCTCCTTGTAGAATATAAGTTCCTTGAAGACAGCTGTATCCCTAGTAACTTGTACAGCAACTGGCACATGGCAGGCACCTACTAAATGCTTGTTGATAAGTTGATTCATACCCTGAGGAAGGATATCAGAGGATAGATATAGTAATGGTTCAGTGAAAAGAACATCTACTCTAGAGTCAGAGGACCCGGGTTCAAATTTTTCCTTTGATACATATGACTTGTATGACTTTGGGCAAGTCACTCACTTTCCTGTGCCTCAGTTTCCACATTTGCAAAATGGAGGAAGACTAGATGGGCTCTGGGGTTATTTCCAGCTCTTTATGATGCTACCTGTATTAAGGCAAGGATGAGAAAAAACACTGTAGCTTAAAATTTATTTCAACAAATATTTATTAAATGCCTAGTAAAGCATCGTTAAAGAACTTACACTCTGCTGGGGACAGGTTAAGTAAACAGAACAGAGACGCATTCTTAATCTTAAGCCAAGCGCATTAATAATGGAAAAGAGTCAAGACAGGTCTTTTGTAGGAGGAGGCAACTGAGTTCAGCTTTGAGGGAACTGGGGATTCCCAGAGGGGGTGATGAGGAGGGAGAGTCAGGACAAGACACAGAGACAGGAAATGGATGGTCCTACATGGGAAACATCAACTCAATCTGTTTAGCTAGAATGTATAGTGCATTAGCAAGAATGATCTGAAATAAGGAAGGAAAGGCAGGTGGAAACCACACTGCAAAGTTAAAAGAGGAGAGATCAAATCTGTCATTAGCTTCAAAGGTTCATAGGGTCAAGTGAACTTTTTTTTAAGGAAGGGAGAGATCTTGGTATATTTGTAGCCATCACACAAGGAGGCAGTGGATGGAGAGAGATTGAAAATTAAGGAAAAATGTTAAAGGAGCTAGCTTCTGGAGGAGACGGGACCAAGGTTACCAGATAGACTCAATCTTTCTTCCATATCTTCAACAAATATTAAATGCCTGGTATGGGCATGACACAGTGTAAAGTCCTGTAGGCCAGTGGCATCAAACTGAAATAGAAAAGGGTCCACTAAACCATACATAAGGATCCCTCTGGGCCACATATTTTGATTTAGTCTTTAAAATGTAGTAGTATCTATGTTTTACTAAACTTTTATTTATTTTGTTAAACATTTCCCAATTACTTTTCAATCTGATTCAGGCTACACTCGAAAGTGTTACAGGCTGCATGCAGGCCCTGTGTTTGACACCTCTGTAGGGGATACAAAGAAGCTTAAGATAGTCACTGTCCTTGAGGAACTTAACAATGTGTTTGGAAAAAGAAGAAATGTACTTTTTCCTAGTTAAATATCAATATAAGGCAACATATTATTTCAAATTAGGAATACTAACAACAAACATTATGACAGTTCAAAGGAGGGAACCATCCCTAGCGGTTGGAATAGTTAAGAGAAATTTATTTCCAATAAGTGAATACTATTTAGGGCCTAATGTGTACAGAACAATGTATTAGGCACTGAGGTAAATGCAGCATTACATAAGGCACAGTCCCTGCCCTCATGGCCTAGTAGAGGGATACCGCTACTTAATACTTGAATCACCTACCTACAATTTCATCTCCACTGACAAAGATCATAACTCCTTTGTGACTCAGCTCATGGGAGCTCCGAGAGATGCTGTGGCTGAAAAATCCATCACCAATGGCTAACTATCTGATGTCTGAACTTAGGTTGGTCTTTGGCTAGCAGAAAACACAAACCAGCACAATGCTCATAGATCGTAATCTTTCCTTCTAGGTTGGGAGAACCTACCAACATCTATAGCCTGCTGGCTTTCTAGAGCTATCTACACCACAATGAAACATTGGAAGAATTCCTTGGTCCAGGAATTGGGAGATCTGACAGATAATACAAAAGAGCACATGGTAAGTATACAAGGTATTATGTGAGATCTGAAAGGGGAAAGGTCACTACTAACTCATGGGATGGTTTATTCAAAGAGGTATTGTTTGAGTTGGGCTTTAAAGGCTAAGCAGAAATTCAATAGGCAGAGAAGATAGGGAAGGGAGTTCCAAGAATGGGGACCACTTTCATTGAAGAGGTAGGCCTTGAAGGATGGGTATATATTAGAGAAGCTGAAAGGGAGGGAAAAAGTATTTTCCATAGAAGCCAAAGCACTGAAATTAAAAAGACAATCTTGGTGAATTCAACTCAACAAGCATCTGGGTCCAGATGGCCATCCGGGTCCAGTGGCCAGATATAGATCAGGACGACTGGAGATGGCTCCCCAACAAGCATTTACTGAGTCCCGAGTACATGAAGTTGGAAACAAGGTAACCCTTTTGAGAGAAAGAGTGACATTGGGATTTCAGACTTGAGGAGAGAGACTGTGGAATTTACTAGGGACTTAACAAAAGGTAAATAAAGACTGCTGAAGAGCAGCAGGGGCTAAAGGGAAGCTTAACAGCATGAGGCTGGATATTCTGCCAGCAAAAGGAAATTAGGGAAAGCAGCTAAGAGGAGCTAGGTTAATGGGGCTCAAGTAAGCTTTAGGACACTCATGATTTGGGGCTCTCTGGCAAGGCACACTCTAGTCTCTGACATTTAAACATTTACATGATGTTTGTGTCATAGTTTTTAAAATACATTTCCTATTTTATTTCATATATAACCTCTCCAACTGAAATATGAGCTCTTAAAGAGAAGTGATGGTCTTGTGCGTTTGTATAACCAAAAAGACTCATACAATGCCTTGCACATAGCAGGTGCTCTGTATTGCTTTATGATGTCAGCAGAGAGATTATTGTTTGGCCAACAACCATGATTCATTCTGTTCTGGTGAATTAGTTGGGGGAGCTCCCTTATCTTCTGTTGCTCAGCCCCAGGCTTGGCAATGCAGACTAAAGCCATGTGACTTACATTGCTTCACTGCTTGTCATACCTTTCGACCTCTAACCCAGGAACTTTTCAAGGTCCAGGCATTTGCCAACTATTAGGAGGTGGTGCCATGGGCTGTTTCATAGTGATGTCTCCCAAATGACTCTTTAAATTACTGAAATTTCCAACTTTTCCAAGAAAGTCCTGCTCCAGTGTCTTGTTATGGCACAGAGAGGACCTGGGGTTTTCAAAGTGACATCAGCAGAGGACAAGCTCTGATAGGTCTCCCCCCAACTGGAAAGGTTAAAGTTGGGCTCAGTGATGGCCTGTGTGTCCATTCCCTAAAGACTATCCTAGTTGACAAATGTGGGCAACAGGTGATAAATTTCTTGGCAAAAGCAACTTGTTTCCTAAGTGGTTACAACTTTATGTTGGTAAAAAGAATAGCCAACTACACTGATGAAATCATGGATCTTTTGAAACATTTACCAAACATAAAAAAGAGAACTGATTTTTGAACATGGCTTTCTAATTATCTAATTTTTAAAAACCTGAGGCAGGTCTAAATTTCTTACACAATTTCTAATTGCATCTATTTTTAAAGAGATCTGTGATTTCAGTAGTGTTGAGAATTCTTGGTAAGGACCTTCTACAATGCAGATAAGGCAGTGCTTAAATCCTTCTCTTCTATCCAGGATGCCCCCAAGTAAGATGGCAGTGGCTAAGAACCACTGTCAGTTCACCTTGGGACTGGTTTGCCTTGCTCGACAGGGATTTCAAAAGATGCTTTTTATCAAATCTTATTTAACTCTAAAAGTTCTTAATTTTTTATTTGTACTCTTACAAATATATATCAGTCACCCATAACTGGATAGGAGACAAAGTGGATACATATCCTTAAGAGCCAGCAGTTGATTTTGAGGCCAAATACTTTATTATGGCTGTTTACCAGGGAAAAGAAATGAATACATTAACAAAGTTATTTTGTTGCTAGACATTAGGAAATCACACGGAAAAAAATGAGATGTCTTTTTTAAAAACAACTCTCTTAAGGACCTTTGAACATGGGAAAATGCCTTATTAGTGACTTATTAAAATGTACAAAGGCTAAAAAAGGTAATCTATCCGCAAACTAAAATACCTGCTCATTTTCCCTTCTTGTAAAGTGTGGCAATTCAGTTCTGTGACAAAGATACACAAAAACCCTGAGCAGCAGTCTTTTTTTCTAGTTTCTAACTTTCAACATTTCCTAGTTTGGTTCTTTACAAAGTGGTTCAAAAAGAAGACTGAAATGGGAGACTTGGGTTCTAGTTTTAGTGCTGCTAGTGACCAGTAGTGTGACCTTGGGGAAGTTATTTAGAAGGGCCTGTACAAGTCTTAGTTTTCTGTTGAAGAAAGGGATAGGTCTGTATAACCCTTTTAGCTTAAGGATTCTGGGACTTTATCTGTATTCTATGTACCGGAAAAATTTAGCTTTTGACATGATGAATTATCTTTTCTTGCTCTGTTAATCTTTTGAAACTCAACTTACTATTTTAAATCTTACCTTTTCAGTTTGTGATCCATGTGTTAGTTACAGACTATCTTTATTAGCCACAAATGCTATTGAATTTGTATGACAGAAATAATACATGCTGGTCTGAAGAGAAACATTTTAAGATATATAGTACATGCCCTGCAACTTGATGCCTGTGCAGAAATATGACACACAAAGGAAATGCTGACATTCTTGGGCTGTCTTTAGTCAGTCATTAATAAAGGGGATTTTAGATCTTCTGGTAAAAATGACTGAAGATATTACTTTTCACTTAAAATAAGAGTTAAAAATTGATACTGGGTTTCAAGTAAAATGTAAACTTCTTGAAGGTAAGGACTATTTTATGGTATCTCCAGCACCTACCACACTGCCTTGTATGTAACAGGCACTTGATATTTGTTGAATTAGCTGAGTTAAAGTATATACTTTTCAACAGGTCAAAGAACATATGCAGCATCCTCCAGCTAATCTTAATCCCCACACTACATTAAGGTTTACACAAATGGCTTATATCATATCTAATTACCACCACCATAAACAATTCTGTTAAGCACTTATAAATACAAATAGCTCTTCAATTACCTTTTTTTGAAAGCACATGGACTGATTTATCAACTGTGATATCTGGAGGGAAAGATGTATGCCCATTTATAGTATGAATTAGTTCTTCCATTGTCTTCTCATCAATTTCTTGTGCTAAAGGATTCGAAATCGTTTCATCTTCTATTCTATTAAAAATAAAGTATACTCATTTTTCTTCACTTAGAAGCCCAAATGTTTAAGTCAAACATTATGCAGTACTGTATTGTCACTAACCTGGTGAGTTCTTCTGCTTTTATTTGATCAAACCCCATATTTTTAGGATCATAATTTCTTTTAGATAAAACAGGACTGGGATTATGGCCCAGAAACCTGTAGAGACTGCTATTTGTATCTTCAAATTGCAATTCCTTTTCACTTTTGAATAGCTTCATTCCTACTGGTTCAAATACTTTATGATCCATGAGAGCTTGGCAAAGACGCACTCCATTTAGACGGGAGATGTCACTGCTGCTTAAGGAGATATTCTGCATAAGATGACCTAACACTACATCAACAGCATCCGAACCAGTAAAACAGTCTTTATAAGTTCGGAAATGTTGCCGTCTTCTTTTTATTTCCACCTGCGTGTGAAGAGAGTGAATGATACCATTCCACAGCTGAGTAGCTTGAAAAGGACCCGAGCATCCTGAAAAAACATTTAGACATATGGAATAGGCTGTGGAATTTAGATTACTCAAATGCATACATAATTTCACTTATTTTTGTGAACCTTATGCTTCTTGTGAAATATATTCTTGCCAATTTCATAATAAATTTCATTTCCTATCCTAAACTATGGAATGTTTGCAATTTTTCATGATGACCCATATTTAAAATAACTATATCGTAATATTCCTCTGCCAAGATAAAAACGGCACTCAACCTATGTAGCTAAACTTCACTGATTTGAGAATCATAGTAAGAATTCTGGATCCTTTTAGTTTGTGAAATTTACTACCTACTCGGAAACTAAGGGAGTGCAATTTTCATTCTTCTTTCACACCAAGGTGGCTTTTCAAGGCAAACCTTATTACTGGGTTCTGGATGCTCTAACCTGTTTCTCCTCCCTCCCTTTTAGGCATTTTATGGCTCATTAGCACATCCACTAGACAGCATAGCATCCTAAGATAGCTCTGCAGGGAGCATAAAGGAGGTTAGAATCATTTGGGCTCCTTGTTAGAGTCTTTAAGATGTTCTAGGGGAGGGAGGAGAAACTAAAGGATCCTTTTGGCTTTTGAGCATCCATTTTACTTTTCTCCCTCAGGCCTTTGGTTAGTAAAGATACATAAAAGAGCAAGAACTCCCTAATACCCTTAGACAACTCCAGCAGTCAAAGGTCCATATACCTTCTCCTTACATGGAGCAGAAGAGAGCTGTTTGCCTAAGGCTGTCTCCCTGTCACTGCCTGTACTGGCCCAGGATCCTAAGTGCATTTCAGGGTAAGAGCTGCCCACTTTGGAACTACAACCTAAGGCAAGAAAGGAGGCAGGAGTGGCTACATCCCTTGAGTGAACTAGGGGCCAGGTAAAAGGACAGGGTGGGGCTACATGGGGCCAGGTAAGGGGAGGCTTGGAAAGTTAGGGCTGGGCAGGGGGTGGGGCTAGTGGAGGAAATTGGGCAGAACTGGGCAGGGGGAGTGGCTAGGCAAGAAGGATGGGGGGGATTAGATAAAGAGGTGGTCTTGAGTGAGGCTGCGCAGGATTAGGAAGGAGATTGAGGTCTACTTGAGTAGGGGAAGAGGCTATACAAGACAATGGACGGGGCTAGATAAGGTGGCAGGGGGAACAGGGCAGAGGCTGCCCAAGATAAAGTCAGAAAGGGTGCGTGGCTAGGCAAGAAGGGGCGGGGAGAGGTAGAGAATGGGCGTGCCTAGACAAGGTGGCAGGGGGAATAGGGCAGAGCCTCCCCTACGTTTAAGATCAGAAAGGGGAGGAACTATGCAAAGAGTGGGCGGAGCTAGATAAAGTGCAGTTGGGCATAGGCTGCCCTGGGTAAGGTCATCTGAGGCGGGGCCAGGTCAAAAGGGCGGGGCTAGGCCTCCCTAGTCTCCAGGAAGCTGCATTCAAAGTCTGGCTCCCCTTCTCTTCCCCACCAAAACAGCTCACCTGTGATAACTGCCCTTCTCCTCCGGTTGATACCGCCGCCGGCGCTAAGTCGGAGCCGGAGGCCGTCCCGCCGCTGAAGCCGGAGCTCGCTCTGGCTGCTGAGCCTGCGGAACCGCGGAGTCAAAAGAACCGCCATCATGCTCCGACTCCTCCTCCCCGCTCCGCACGCACGCACGCACTCAGGCGTCTCTCAGGCCGGCTCCGCCCCTTCCTCGAGGATCGGAAGTGACCTCACCGGACCGGCGGGACCTGCTCTTCTTCCTGCCCCTCCCCTCGCCCGCCTCTCTCCCGGCTCCCGGAGCTCTGGCAGCGGCGACAGCCATGGGAGCGGCGTCGATGGCGGTGGAGTAGCCGGAGCGCCAGCGCGGCGGCTGAAGGGAGCGAGCCCTTGCGCCGCCCCCTCGGGGGCCATTGGCCGGACCAGGTGAGCGGCCGGGCCGCGCGCGACGGAGCCGTCCCTGCTCCGCTGGCTGAGGGAGCTCCGGCTGCCGCCGCCCGGCCTAGGCCGCCCCGACCGCAGTTGCCGGGTGACGACGCCGCCGGGGCGGCCGCGGCCCTGGAGGAGCCCCCGAGGGCGGAGGGCGCACGGGGTGTGAGCCGAGGCTGGGGCGGGGGCTGCGGTTCGTGCCCCTGCGAGGGGTCTCGGGCCCGGGGAGGGGGCAGCGCCGCCGAGGCCGCCCCGGCCCTCGATTTGTCTAAGGAGCCGGAGAGAGGAGCCCCGCTGCCGCTTCTGGGGAGCCCGGGGAAGAGGACCAGCCCAGCAAACACTTAGAAGGCGCCTACTGTGTGCAGAGGACCGGGGTCACCTGCTTCCGGACCCTGGTAACGACCCCACCCCCGCCTCCTCCCCTTCTCCGTCGGGGGCTTGTAAGTAGGTGGTAAAACTAAGGGTCGGTCGGTTGGTTTGTTTTAAATAGGAATCCCCCTGATGCCAAAGCCTTGACCCCGGTCTTGATGATCTCCGGCCGATACTGCCTTTCTCTCGTTTCGTCCAGAGTTGTTTGCGTTGTTTTTCTCCCCGTTAGACCGTGAGCTCCTTGAGAGCAGGCACTGACTCGGGCTTTTCTTTATATCCCCAGCGCTTCGCACAGAGCCTGGCACGTAGCAAGCCCATCATTAAAATTAAAAATACTTCTGGTATGGGCTTCTTGACAAGAGAAATAAAGAACTGTTTCCAGGATGAACTTTTTTTCCCTGCTGATTGGGAAACCGTAAATTTCTTTTAAAAGTCTATTAGGTAATGTAACTCACAATGCTGTGTTAAAACGAACATTTAAGAAAACCAGCTTCATTCTCAAGTTTGTCAGTTTGTCTCTATGAACTTCAGTAAGAAAGAGGGGTATTTCATGTGACTTATCACTTGGTAGCATGGAAGGTGAGGGCCTGAGCTCCCTTCAGTGTTCTTCAGGTACAACCCTAAGTTTGTCAATTTGTCACTGTAAACTTGTACGATGAAGAATGCTGTTTCATATTGTGTTTCCTTTGGTGGCTTGAAAGCTGTGGGGCTAGGCCTTGCCTTAGTGATTTGTTGTTTGGTTGGTCCCTCTTGGTGAGAAATAAAGATTTAGTGTACTTTACCTGGACAGAGAGGAGAGCTTTTGAATAAGCGAGAGTTTGGGGTTCAGATATTGTTGTTGTTATTATGAAAGAAGCTTAGGAATGACTTGGGCAACAGTATTGTATGTAAATATTGTTGTTGTTGTTGTGAAAGATACCTTTGTAGAGGAAAAAATGGTTAAGTCAGAAGAAGAAATACTGGGGAAGTTGTTTGATTTCCTGTCTTCAGAAACATAAAAATAGAGAGTACCTCACAGAGTTGTAGGAGAAAGGGAGAAGCTTTTGCAGAAGTATAAATGTAAGTTAATGTTGATCCGTTTTGAAAGAAGCATAGGAATGACTTAGGCAGAAGTATGTTTGTAAATGTTGCTGCTGTTAAAAATACATTTGTAGGAACAGAATAGTAATAGTCAAGTCACGAGTGATAGTGGGGGAGAGGGAAAAATTGTGGAGGAATGTCTCTGCTGTAATTATTTCTGTACTGAAGACATTGTTTCTGTTCCCCACTCTGGTCTAAATTGAGCAAATGCTCTTTATTAGGGTATATACCTACTCATATTGTATAGCTAAAGATGTTGTTTGTTGTTGTTCAGTTGTGTCTGACTCTTGGTGACCCCAAGGACTATAGAACACCAGCCCTTTCCTCTCCTATCTCCTGAAATCTGTCCAAGCTCCTATTCCTTCCCTAATGTTATCTATCCATTTCATAGTTAAAGAACACACCCAAAAAGACCAAATGAAACAAATGCAGATGTCTTATAATGACATAATATATATTAAGTGCTTTGTAAACTTTTTATAAAGTGTTGGATTTTATTAGATATTATTTTGCTTTGTGCATTTAGAAAGGAAGATTTGTAGATCAGATTATATTTTAAAATGCATTAGGGGAGGTTAAATATTTTTATGAGTGTAATTTGTAAGTTCAGGTTTATATTTGATCAGATTTTCATAAAACATGACCAAACTATACAAGAACCACAAATCTTCTAATTTTAGGGTTAGAATAGACTTTTGAGTTCCTTTAATTCAACCTCATCCTCAAAGATTTTCTGCACTCCCCTCCAGATACAGAGAGTAACAATTCCCATCAGGCTGTACTCTTCTGGACTTTGTCACACTCCCCAGAACCTCATTATCCTACAAGATTACATGGTCTGTGAAACTCACACTCTTCTACACCTCTTTTCCTGGTGCCCCTTCCTCTTTCTGATTAGAGAGAGAGGGCAGACCACCGGGAGAGCTCTCCTTCATTTAAGGAGGGCTCCTGGGCAACATCTCTTTATATTCTTAGGTCTGTACTCCTCTGAACTTAACCATGCATCCCCTCCCCTTTCCACCTTCGTTTCTTTTCATGTGTTGTCTTCCTTGGTTAGATTGTGAGCTCCTAGAAGGCAATGACTGTCTTTTGCATTCTTTGTATGCCAGGCACATTGTAAGTCTTTAATAATTAAGTGCTTAATTAGTATTTATTCACTGACTGACTGGTAGAAAGACCCTGGTTAAGGGAGATAACAAGGAGACTTCTCATTCCTGACTTTTAAGTACTCAAACTTATGATCTTCTTGGGAAGGGAAGATTCTTCTAGGGAAGAATCTGGCCTGCAGTGACTCCACTGACCGTAAAGAAGTCTAGCTTCAGGGGACAATGGGGAACTTATCTTTTTCCCTTAATCTCTGCTTTACTTAACATATTTCAGTTTCAACCTTTACCCAAAATATGTTAAATATTAGAAACAAATCAGTTATAGATATATGCCAGTGTTCCAGGTAAAAAAGGGTCATTTTATGAAATATCATTTAATTCTAATGAAAAAATTTCAGAAAACACGTAGTCTGTATCTGTGAGCCTTAGGCAGAGTTAGGGAAGGAGACTATATACCCATTCTTAGGAAAAGGATGGGAAGATTTTTCAGTAGTAATTTTAGGTAGAGGGTGTGATTTGGACCTATGCTGAGGCATTATGAACTCTGGAGCCTGTAAGTGATCACTTCTGAACTATGTTGTAGAAGAGTTTATTGTTTAGCTACAAGTTGGATTAGAGGAGGCCAGTCAAGGCCAGCCTCTGATTCTAAGTCTTCCTTCCTTCCTTCCTTCCTTCCTTCCTTCCTTCCTTCCTTCCTTCTTTCCTTCCTTCCTTCCTTCCTTCCTTCCTTTCTTTCTTTCTTTCTTTCCTTCTTTCTTTTGTGATTAATGCCTTTTGATTTTAACAACATAATTATTTTCCCATATTCCCCATCCAACTCTCAGATTCAATGAAGGGATCTGTGATAAATCTAAGGGACAGATGTAGGCTTTTATGTTATCATGAGCTTCCAGAAACCTGTGCCTTGGAGGCCAGGGACCAGTGGAGAGAAAATGCACATATTGGTGAAGTTCACATTTTGAAAATTATTTATTATTCCTGTTTACTAGCTGTGTGAATTTAGATAATCACTTTGGGGCCTCACTTTTCTCATTAGTGAAATGAAAATCTTTGATCTCTTGGGATCCTTTCCAGTTCTGATTTTCTCTTATTCTGTATATCCAGTCATTTCTTCAACATTTCAGCAGCCTGAAATAGGGAGGGGGATGGAGTGCCAGGAGCTGGAGACCAGTTTTGAAGATTTCACAACTTTGTGGGGACAAATAGAAACTGAGCAGGAAGATATTTTTATCAGCGGTGGCAGTGATGTATGTGTTGTGCTTCACATGATTTATGAAGGGTTATATCACAGAGGAGCTCTTTTCTAGAATATTCATTTCATAGAAGTGTGTGTCCTTGTGTACCACCGATATATCATAATAGCATTGCGCTGGTGGATTGAATGCTGGGCTTGAAGGAGAAGGATTCAGATCCTGCCTGTGCCACTAGATATATGACAATAGTATAGAATTTATCCATTAAGTCATAGGCAGGTTGTGATCCATTTTGGTGGAGGAGTTGTGTCCTGGGAGTTTTTCCTGTATAAGAATGTAAGCTCCTTGAGGGAAAGAAATATTTTTTTCATTTTTATCTTTGAATCTCCAGTGCCTCCCACATAATAGATACTATTAAATAATTATCAAGTAAATACTTGAAAAAGGCATAGATCTTTCGTTATAGATCACTAATCTGATACCTAGTATATTCATTATTCAAGAACTATTAGCCATTGAGTTTAAACTCTGTACATTCATTTCAACAAGCACTAATTAGTAACTCATAGACACTTGGGAATAGTTGGACAAATAATGTGTTCCCTCAAGGAACTGTATGTTTGTACAAGAATAACTATAATACTAGAATATGATGATTGCATAGGAGAGGTCAAATAAGCATGAGAAATTTGAGTTAGTAATTGCTCTTAACTGGGGGATCAGGGAAGACTTCATGGAGAAGGTGGCATCTGAACTGAACCTTGGAAGAAGAGGAAGAGGGTCTTTGCATGGACATAGGCATCAGCATGCCCAGAAGTGGGTCGAGCAGAGGGAAGTAGGCAATGGTTAATGTAGACGTAGATGTGGGAGAGAACAAGATAAAATCAAGAGACAATATGGTTCAATTTGACTGTTATGTGTAATAGGTCTAAGGAGTTCCTGTGAAAGAGATTGGATGGGAAGGTGGGATCGATCAATTATGGGATGATAGCCTAAGCCTGAAAGGATCTTACAGATCAGAAAACTAAGGTCCAGAGTGACTTCCGAGGTCATGCAGGTGGTAGGAAGAATAAGGACTCAAGGCCAGCCTCTGATTCTAAGTCTTCCTTTCCTTTCCTTCCCTTCCCTTTCCCTTCCCTTCCCTTCCCTTCCCTTCCCTTCCCTTCCTTTCCTTTCTTTTTTTTCCTTCTTTCCTTGTGATTTTGACAACATAAATGTTTCCTTGTATTGCCCTACACTCTTCTCTTTGTGAAACAGAATAATCAGAACAAGCACAAAATCACTATCTGGTAGAATTTCTAACATTTGGCATTTGTAATCTCTCTCTGCTGAAAGAATGGAGAGGTATTCCATTTTCTCCTTGACCTGGGAACTCTGGAATTTGGCTGCAATATTCCTAGAAGTTTTCCTTTGGGGATCTCTTTCGGGAGGAGATTGATGGATTCTTTCAATTTCTGTTTTGCCCTCTGGTTTTAAAATATCAGGGCAGTTTTCCTTGATAATTTCTTGAAAGATGATGTCTAGGCTAATTTTCTGATCATGGCTTTCAGATAGTCCAATAATTTTTAAATGATCTCTCCTGGATCTATTTTCCAATGAGATATTTCACATTGTTTTCTATTTTTTAATTCTTTCGGGTTTATTTTACAATGTCTTGATTTCTCATAAAGTCACTAGCTTCCAATTGCTCTA